TTTGTCTTGTAGGTGGACCTGGCCAGTCGTTTAGTGTGGACAGCCTACTGCCCCGACTGGCTCATAAACTGCGCCTCGGACCTTACGACGAGGCGGATACTCTGCAGATCACTCACCGCTTAGACAAGGAGACGACTGGCGCTCTCGTGATCTCCAGGTATGTAATCCATCTGCTGTTGATTACGATCTATTTCCTCGAACTGTGGCGAGTGTATCAACCGCGAATGCAGCCAGAAAGAATCCGCAAACTCACACTTGCTCAGGTTGACGAAGTTGGTTTGGTTTAACCTGTTCTGGCACCCAGAGTAGTCTCACCAGACGGTTAATTGGTAGTTACTGTCTATTGAATTGCTTTCTCCAAAAATCGCTTGCCCACTGACCGTGAATTTGTGCATCAAGGGATGCTTATATTGCCGCAATAACTGCGTGCACAATGAAGCCTGACTCGATGCAGTTCGCAACGTAAAGCACATCCATTAAGTTGGAAATTCTGACCGCACCTGTCCAATGGACTTCCTGGTAGTTTGACCGTTGGAAGATACGACACCCGACAGTTCGTCTGTTGTTTTTGCCGATATCCACAACGAGCTTCGGCAAACTGAAGGCAGACGTGGTGAGTGTAGCTGGAGTATAGTGCAAGTAGACTCGTAGGATCCACCCCATTCTCTCAACACTCCCACATCTGTACCTGATGTCAAGACAAGACTCGAAAAGGCCGGAAATTGAGCAGGGTGCGGGTAACTAGCGCGGCTACCACTTAATACGCGCACCAACAGCACTTCTTGCTAGGTAGGCACCCGCGGGCGCGGAGCGCCATGAAAACCACAGCAAGAAGGAGCCATTGCAGCCTGACTCAGTCCGCCAATCAGCCACTCCACAAAACAAGACACACTGAGATGACTGCGGTGTCCGAGTTATCCCGTCAGTTGGCAACCCTCCAAGCCGCGGCTTTTAACGCACCGTGATTGCTTCGAGCGCGTCAGAAGACACATCGGCTGACCCACAGAATGGGCGCAGCACCGGCGGACTCACGGATAATCTACCACTCTCGTCCTTTTCTCACCCTCCTTACTTCAATAGTGGTGCACAAGGGCGTAGTAGCGGACAAATATAACCAACCTATCTACGCGTGATACACGCATGCCTAGGTCCCAACTATTTATTTCAGGCTAATGTAAGGGTAGTTCGGATCTCGCTTGCTTAGGATTACCACGAAGGCCATGTTTAGGAGAAGCCACTGTGCTCTGACTCCCTGTCCTGCAATTACTGTCACTGAGGGCACTCCTAACTTGGCAGCTTTCAAGCCTGCGTCTTTTAGTGCTTCTTGATGGTTTCATTGCGTCAGATTTTTATTATAGTGAGGAGTGTGTTGATCTGGCTCGTGGACTCACCCCCTCTCTCTCTCTTCCTTTTTCCATGCTCTATTTTTTACTTGGTAGGCTATCACACCGCGGAATTTGGAAAAGGAACTTAATCATCAAAGTTGTGCTCCCAGTCCAAACCGGGATTAAGTAACAGTGTTATCTGTAGCGAATGGTTGAAACCCCTTTGTGTGGTTTCATTTTTTATGCGTGTTTACTTCTTAACCTATATCGACTCGACCACCAGCTGAAACAAAGCCCGCAGCTATGCTTCATTCAAAAGCATCGTAAAACATTGCTTAAGTGGGTAGAAGATGCGTCACTTAGGGGGTAGAGGGGGTAGGCACATCAGCAGAGTACTTGTTTTGAAGCAATCAATATTTTCAGTAAAAACTACATTGTTGCACTTTCTTCGTCAGCGGAAGAAAGAGCAATCATACAGTGTGAAAATGATTGTTAAATCTTTGCTAAACCCACCAACGGTGCGGTTTGAGTGCACAAGCAAGGCCAAAAAGCTGGTTGTTGTCGCCAACTGTTCATAGGTTCATATTTTTCCAGTTACCGTCCTGACCCTTGCTTGTAAGGTTAATCTTCCGCGGTAGCTTGATTAAGACCTGGTTTACAGCGGATTACCTTTCGTCCTGGCTTTACCAGCTGAAACTCAGTTTTACAAGTAGACACCACTGCTATCGGTGTTATGACTGTAAAAGGGCAAACCACTTGGCAGGGCACAGTAATATATACTCTCTCTTCCCTCTTCTTGCACTAAATTTAGCATTAAGGTTGAGGGGTCTAGGGCTTGGTATTCCTTTCCCTGGAATATAGCGCGAGGTTACTTCTAGTACGGGAAAGATGTATATATCAGTATCCGACGAAGTTCTCTTTCCAATGAAGCGTCATTCGACCTCCGACTCCTAGCTCGACTTTCAGACCCGTATGTTACCCCCATAAAACTGTACACACTGAAGGAGAACCACCCCCCCTCCCCCCTTCTCCCTGAAATGTATGCTTGCTATTCGCAGTCTTTAGGTGGACGTCTGCCGACCACAGGGTACGGATCGCTTCTGATAGCTCGACTATCGATTTCGATGATGTCCACCATATGCTCAAAAATCGGGGATAGTGAATGTAGTCAGATATAATAAGAGTAGACGCGCAGCCATCTACCAAACTCTAGACCATCACCACGCTTAAACCGGTGACAAGATGGAGTCGATATGACCGAACGGGCTCGGGCGTAGGCCACTATCTCCAATGCAGGCCAGAACACCGCCTAACTTAGTCCTAATTGGCAGCAGTTTTTTACGCCGGTACAACCGCACTATTTACCCTCACTCACCTTCAGCAGGTGTCCAGAAAGACTCATGGAGACCGAGTCTGGTATTATTACTACTGCTTTTACTGTTTTTACTACTGCCTACTAGCAGTGTAGCTGAGTTATAGTAGTGATGATACTATTACTGACGCTAATAATTGGTCAGAAAATGGCGCTGATTAAAGTCGTCGCTGAGCTCGTGTTCCATCGATCTCAACTAGGCGTGGGGACCTGGATTTATACTATTCTGAGTAAATAGATGTTCGAGGCTCTGAACACATCAATGCTTGTTCTGGTGTGTACCCTCCTACCTCTATTCACCTAACTCGTGTAAGTTTTTCCAAGTTTAGAATACGAGGGCTAGGATACTGCTGCTAGAATATGCCACTGTTAAGAGTGCTAATTCTAGTAATCATACTTACTAAGACCAGTAGG